TTTGGGGGGACTTGTGAAGACTATTCTTTCGCACGGCTATATAATTGCATTTTGCCGAGAATATTTCCGCCTTTACTTATTGTGGGTTTTATTCTGTTTTCTGAGTCTCTGTGGCCTGCTGCTGATGTATGCCCATGTGCTTGGCTGTTCTGCTCTTGATTTCCTTTGACTTCTGAGTCTGAGATTGTTGTTGAGGGCTGCTGTTGGCCTGTTTTGCTGTGATTTCTGAGTCAGTCTTCTTTCTGTGAGAGTGCCTGCGTGCATTTCTTTTCCCTTTCGATAATGACGCATGTGCACAACAGATGTAAGAATGTGTGCTTGTGTGTGTGTGTGTGTGTGTGTGTGTGTCATGTGCCCTACAACAGATGTAAGAATGTGTGCGTGTGTGTGTGTGTGTGTGTGTGTGTGTGTGTGTGTGTGTGTGAGAGAGAGAGAGGGGGGGTGGTTCTGTCCCACCGTTTACCACGCATTTCTGACTCGGGCTCAGGTACGTATCCAGATTCATCCAGATTCAGAATGGAAGCTCAATTGCAGGACACACACACGCACACACACACACACACACATATGCGCGCGCGCGCGCGCACACACACACGCACGCACACACACGCGCGCACACACACACACTAGCACGTGACTCGGATGCTTTGTGTCCTGCGGATTATGAAGGTCTAGCATAGCCCATTAAAGTTATTTTCACGAGTATTACGACAGTCAACATTGCACTCACAGACGCATTGCACTCATGGACGGCACCCTGACATGTCATGTACAATTTGTAGACGGGCCAGAACGTCAACATCACACACCTATACAATTGCAGAGCCACGTAGCCTGGGACACCTGTCTACGCCGTGCAACTGCAAGAATTGAACGCGATGATCCTACAGTCCACACCTGAACCGCTCCTATCCAGTCCGTAGGGGTGGGGCCATTTACAACAGGCAACAGCTTCTCAACTCAAAATTCCCTGCCGCCGAAAGACAGACTGGCCTCTTGTACCATTCCAGATTAATCTTGTCCAGCGGTGAGTATTGAGAATACTCTGAAAATTCGTCTTTCCTCTGTCCKGGCCATTTACAACAGGCAACAGCTTCTCAACTCAAAATTCCCTGCCGCCGAAAGACAGACTGGCCTCTTGTACCATTCCAGATTAATCTTGTCCAGCGGTGAGTATTGAGAATACTCTGAAAATTCGTCTTTCCTCTGTCCTGTTCTTTGCCCCTCCACTTCCCTCCTCTTCCCCTTCTCCCTCCCCCCACCCCTCCCTCTTTCTATAGATCTCCACCCCCTACCCCGTTCCTTGCTCTTGTTTACTTCTGATAATTGCAGACGGAAGAGAAGATCTGAGGAAAAACGAACAGCAGTACTCGGCCTCCTTTGGTGTGCAAGTGGGCCGTTGTGGCACACGGGAATGTGCGCATCTCTCGCTCACCCACAATCTCCATGTGGGCAGCCTTGTACACAATGAGACCACCGCCATGCATCGAACACTCGGACACAAGTGTCTCATCTCATCACACAGATGAGACATGCAGGATATACGAAGTCCAAAAATAGTATCCTCTCTCTCATACTACAGCTATGGCTATGGCGCCCAGGGCCGTTGACTACACTGCACCACACCCACTCTCTCTTCGGTTATTTAAAATTGTTATGCACTGTTCTCTTGAAGACCTTAAGCCAACGACAACTGGTCCGGGCTGTGTGCAGTACACTCAAACAAAGCTGCCCAGTCAACCAGCTGACGACCTGGCATCGGACGCAGCCAGAACTACACAAGGCACAGAGGACCTCCCCACACGGAATCCAGGAGTCGGGATGCAGTTGTCCGCAGCCCGAAACGGCATTTCTGCAGGACAGCCTTTTTTGCAGCACCGAACTGAACTCATCGCGTCGGTGTAAAAAAAAAAAAAAAAAAAAGAACTCATCGCGTCGGTTATTTAAAATTGCAAGGGACTGTTCTAATTCACTGTGGTAGTGCTAGGACGGGAGAGACGTCGCGCCGCCACCTACGCACGCATCACCATGTTCCCGGATTCTTTTATCCCGTCCTAGCACCCGTGTCGTCCACCCTTCCTTCGGGCTCTCGCCATTTGGAGTTTCTTTTCTTTTAAAAAAAAAAGGTCCATGTCGTCGTAGTAGAGGGTGGATGCCAGGCCTCGGGAGGTGCCTGTCGTCGTACTCAACCAGTGAGGGGATCAGATGGCTTGTGACGACCCCGAGAACAGTCTTCCTCCGGGGGGCATCATTCGTGACCTGTTATATTCTACTCTTATCTCAAGTCGAGCCCTCCTACAGCGGTGCGACGCAGACCTCTCTATCTAGAGCTGGACCTACACCAACCCGCGCCTTCCGAGGAGTCGCAGACACACACGTCCCCCCGGCGCTAGCATAGGAACAACCAGAAGACTCGAGGACGACCCGGATACATGAGGGGTCACCGATTTACCCGGTCATTCCCAAACCGTATCACATCGTTCAGACCCTATGGGCAGCGAAGCCACCATTCTACATCAATGCGACAGCCCTCCCTCCCCTAAGCCACCCTTCTACATCAATGTAGACAGCCCTCCCTCCCCTGTCGAAGATGACACCTTACCCAGAAGCCCTTCCCCAGACTCACGCCCCAATCGACCCCTCAGTGGGAACTCAGACAGGAACCAACCCAGATGAAGCCCAACCCACAAGCGTCCTGAGATCAAACTGAAGCCCCCCCATGGGAATCGTACATGCCTAACACCCAACCACTACCTCTACTCAAGGGGGTGTAGAGAGCGGGGTGTATGAGCTCAGGGCTGCCGTTGTTAGTACCGCATCAAATCGTTGTAACATTTTTTCCCTGAGGAAAAAAAAGGGAGCTATTTTCTACCACTTTTGTAGGATCGGTAGGGTTCTTCTTGCCTCGGATTTCGTTTGATTTTGAACTAGTGTGCGAGTGCATGATATGCACACGTGCATGGACTCGTGGGATTGTTCTTCCTCTCCTTTCTGCTCTTAATTTTCAACGTTGATTAGTCTTTGATCTCTGCGAGTGCGAATAAATGGATGACCTCGACACTGTGTATACATTCACACATTCCGTTTCCTTTTTGGGATACCCGGCACAGAAAAGTGTGCACGATCTTCGAATGCTGACGCAGCCATTAACCCTTCGCCAGCCTGAACACTGGTCCGTCTTTCCCTGCGCTTAATAAGACGTGTCAAAGGCTCGACGAATGTGGTTACCCCTCTCTGTATTCTAATCCGAGGTGATCGCCGAAGCCTGCATTCCACGGAACAATACCTTGGAATCACAGGCAGGTTCCCAATTCGGATCAGAGTGAAACCGCCAGGCTGCCATGATTTTCACTCACAGCGAACGCGGACTTATCCTTTACAAGGTTGCTTTCCCTCTAGTACGGAGAACTTCGAGGTCAAAAAAAAAAAAAGAAAAAAAAAAAAACTCGAGGACTCGTTTTCCATGGCACGTCCCTCTGCGCCATCCTTAGGAAAAGCAGTCGGGATGGGATGTCTTCTTGCAAACCGTTTCTTCGCAGGAAGCACCACATCATCGAGTTCAAAGAGGTTTTTTTTGTGTGAGAGTTGTTCCTCAGTCAATTTCGGCATCCAAAGAAAAAAGAGTAAACCTCCGCAGGATTCACTGTGGACACCGTCATTCCCAGAGATGATGACGCTGGCTCCTAAGGGCTGGTAGAAACATCATGAAGCTGAGGGAGAAAAGCTGTCTTGTTACACCGGATGAGACCACACATAGCACGTAGCAGAAATGTATCACATGAGGGTGCCAAAAGGTATTCCGAGCATATTTTACGTTGGAAAGACGTAGGAGCCGTTGGACTACTTCTATGCCAGCCCATGGTAGACTAGGTCACCTCACCTCGTGCATCTGAGGTGTTACCCGCACATGCAAGGCAGTGTGCCGGAGGCAATAGATCAAATAATGTGGAGACTTCCCGCACATGAAGACTAGATCGTCATCATCGAGAGAACTCCAAAATGGTCCAAAAAAAAAAGAAGAAAAAAAAAAGACACATGGATGACATCTTGACATACACAAAACCTGAACAGACAAGGGTTGAATCAACGGTATATTACATGGCCATGGTCCCCACCAGACCTGGACAAGGCTCGAGCCCGGTGGACCCGCATCGGAAAATTCCCATCCTACAAGATAACCAATCCACCAACGCACCGTATAACCAATCCACCAACGCACCGCAGACATCGTTAAGAAAACAGAACAACGCCATCCCTCGGATCGGCATCCTCTTGCGATTCCACGCCTGCACTAGAAGACATGCCCAGTAAGAGAACCTGTGACAGACGGAACCAGACGGACCCACAGCTGACCATGCCAGTCTGCCGCAGTACTTGGAAAAAAAAAGCACGGGCAGATGGCACATGCCTGACACCGTGGGGATAAGAAGAGAGACAGACAAACGGACACTCCATGGCTTCAGAAACAGCACAGGCTGGAAAGCGGGTCCAGCGTCCCTCCAGTGCCAATTCAGCAACAAGAATAACATAGTAGAGCAGGTACAATATCAAACAAACCAAGTGACAGCCTTTTAATTAATTACAAAGTCTAGACTTCCGGCAACGGAAGTCAGAAGGCTAGGCAACTTACACCGAAATGATCCACCAACGATTTACAGGATAAAGATCTCGGCCGCGATCCGCACTACTGCGCCATACTTACACATTACGTTCAGATCTTGAGAGCGCCTGGCTCCACCGAGTACTCCAACCGCAACTGCGTTATCAGCCAAAACACAGGAAGGTCCGCCCGCCTGCCGAAGGCAAGAATGGCAACACTGCTGGTTCGCATAATACAGTCCCTCCGATGTGTATACATGGCCATGAATGATAGTTTCAGGAGCCCATGGTAATTCCCCTCGCAGAAGCCTCCTACCGGTCTGCAACGATCTCACCCCGAGGGACTCGGTCATTGGGAGCTGCTGGATGGACAAAGCGTCCCGCCGGAAGAGCCACATTTCGCTTGGGTGCGAGATTCATTCGCATGAGCAAATTTAAATAGCAGAACAAATCCCAAAGCGGAGCCACCGATGGCTAACCCTCTCTACCCATCCAGTGCCTTCGACGCATTTACCATGTATAAAACTGCTTGTCCTCTCTGAAAACGTGAGCATTCCCCTTTTCGTGGCCGTTCACAAGAGCCCCCGTCCGCACCCGTTTTTTGTCCTTCTGTTTTCTTGCCCGAACCCGAACCTACTACGTTCCTCTATCTGCGTTTGCTAGTTATGAATAACCGTCTGAATATGAACACCACCCACCAAGCCTGTAAACATGCGTGCACTGCAGTCAAACTCCCCCGGCACCGATAAAAAAATTCGGGGACACCTACCCTGTTTCGACCCCAAGACCGATAAAAAACGATGAGAATGCTAAAACGTGCTCGACCACCCGTGTCGTGAAAGATCATCCATCTCCAAACATCAAATGGAAGCGCTTTTCCGTTGAGACCCTCCACCGAGGAAGACGAGACTGCTTCCACAGGACAAACAATTCCTCGTTCGCTGTTTGGCACGCCCACAGCGACTGGTATCACTATGTACGACGCCCGAGCATCCCGAGTTTACCCTCCCCTGCCTCTTCTTCTAGAGTACACATACAACGAGCTCAGCACCTGGGCAAACCACTCTCTCTTTGGCGCTCACACATGGACGCTGCGGGAGCTAATGCCAGGCTACGCTTCTGGAGAACGAGAAGCGCGCCGCACGCCCGCTCTCTTGCCATCTTGCAAGAACAGGGATAGGGAAGAGGGTGATTTCATGAGCGACAGAGTAAACAAGTCCTTTCCCCTGTCAGCTCTTAACTTTTTTTTTCTTGTCGTTTATTTACTCACCATCAACACGCGAAAAAAACGAGGAAAAGGACAACGGAGTCCATCAGACCCGGCAACTTACTAACAATCAGCTCCTCTTTCTACATTTCCAACAGCCACGTAGAGTCAACACAACTCCGCTTCTCAGTTTCTCACTGCCTGTGTCCCGATGTCTCCCCCCCGCCTTCTTCAACTGATTTAAGGAAAGTCGAGCAGCGCATCAACTGCTGGCAAACGACGATGAGGACAGGCACAACGGCTCCGGTCCCGCGGGGAAGGGGATCCAGTCGACAGGAGGGGGACACCTTGCACTCCGTCCATCGCGGGGCAACTCCTCTCTCGACCTCTTTCTGGTTCATCGACAAGTTGGTATAAAAGGTAGCAATGTCGGGATAGCCCGCGACGAGTAAGTCTCCTTCGATATAGCGGGCAAGAGGAACCACTTAGGATGAGGGAGCACTTGATGCAGAGTACGCCTTCATGTCCTCAGCGTACTCCTTCCATAGAGGGGCAACTCTGCTTTCGTATTCCTTCTTCGTCGCCTCGTCCAGATTCTGCACAGAGAACAGGGAGCATACGAGCTCAATTGTCAGCAAGGACTGCCGAAACAAACGTATGCATGTTCGATCAGGAGCAGAGCTCACCATTTCACGTTTTGAGCTTCAGCGCTGAGGGAAGTGTGTGAACCCCCATGTTCCACGAAATGAATGCAAGGGACAGAAATTATGCTCCACGATGAGGCAGCTAAACAGTGACAAGGAACATGTCAGATAGGCCACTTTTTTTTCAGGTGAGAGTCACTGAATTTCAGACAATTCAACGATTGGAAGCCACCGAATTTCAACGAACATACCCAAAGATTCTGATTTCCCAATCGCCCACTCGCCCAAGTCATCGAGACGCCTCCGACAGCGGATTCCTAGCAAAGTGGGACTTCGATCCTAAAAGATAAACGTTCACGACCGAAGTAGCAGACACAGCCTTCCCACCCTGTTCAAGTCACGTCCTCTATTTGGCGGCCATTTATAAATTAGGTGACTCGGCCCGTACCCCTGCGATCACATTTAAGTATACGTAGCAATGATTTTTAAGAGTCCCACAAAAACAAAAAAGAGCCCCACAAGGTACACCTCTCACAATATGACCGCCTTGAGGCTCAGGATTTGAGCCAACATCCGACTCCGACAAATCCAGAAAGCGTGTCTCACCTTCCACAGAGAAGCAGTGAGCTTGCTCACTTCGACGAAGGTCGCCCCCGGGTTCGATTCCTGTACTTGCTTGCGAACCTCAGAGCTGCACACCGCCAGAAACAAGACAGGGCCACCAATTATCACTCCGTTCACTTGGCATCGAACTGAGAGTGAAAGCGACAACATTTCACAACTTTTTCAGTAGAAAAAGGAAAAAAAAGAAGGAAAAATAAAAAGCCATTTGGAGTCGAGGTAAGTGGTCGTGCCTTGTCCTGGTCAGGGCCTCTATGGTCCCTGCGCCAACCGAATGGGTGTCTCTGTGGCGATGAACGTAATAAGCCAGGTGGCGCTCCGAATGTCACGTTGTGTACCGCGTTGACTGTGAGGACCCCGGCCTACTTGTGCCAATTATAATCAACCGGTTTCCTTCTTAGGGGATTAAAAAAAAAAAAAAAACATTACGCAACGAGAAATTATGACTTCCACTCCAGGACTTCCCGCCGCTGTGAAAAACCATCGTAACAAAACATGCACATGCATGCGCAATCGCGCAATCAAATCACAAACCGTCCTCATGATAGGCCCCAACCTGACATATCCTAGAGAATGGGCCACAGTTCAGTTCAGAGTGCAAGAAAATGGTGGCTCCACTTGCATGCATGCGCGAACCAATCGCGGAAAGTAACGCACGTCCTCTGGAAACGGGGGAAAAGAGCGAAGGGGAACTGCATGCATACCTGAAGAGGAGAAATGCGGTTTGCGGTCGCTTTGGCTTGTTCGGATCTTTGGCAGCCTTCTTGACTGCAGCAGCCTCTGCCCGCTCCCTTTTTTTGGCCTCTGCTGCCTCCTGTTCCGTCTGCGCATGGAAAGGAAGCAAGAAAAAAGATGGCACTACCAATATTGTCAATTCCGACACTGACAGCGAAGAAACGGCCAAGGTGCGACTTGTATTTGCTGCTCGGGGAAAGAAAATGCATCTTGTATTTGCTGCTCGGGGAAAGAAAATCAATTGATATAGGGTTCAAGTCGAGGTCATACGAGCCGGAACGTCCCTGCCCGTTTCCGTTCCACTCAATCAAAATTCCCGCGCAAGGACGCTGCTATGGTGTTCTCTGCAATGCTGACGTTCTTTCTGTGCAGGCAGGCTCCAAGTTTAACGGATGTTTCGTTGCCCTCGTCTTTCGAAACAGGAACCTTTAACTTGTCCTCTCACAGATCTGCACTTGGAAACAGATCACCATCCCTTCGCAGAGGCCACAGGGTGGAGCTTATTAGACCCCAAAGTTTAGTGATTCCTGATCTTCATAATTCATAGAAAGAGAAAGGAAACCGGAAACCAACGCGAGTTCTCAGAGATTGAGATGACCTTCGCTCGTAAGAATTTCATCGGAATTACAGCGCGGACAGGCAACCGATGGCAGAGCAACCCATACTCGTGAGCCCCCACCTATTGCCGTGTTAGCCTGTTGCCGTGTTAGCCTGTTGCCGTGTTAGCCTATTGCCGTGTTAGTCACGGCAAACGCCTAACATTGTTTGGGTCCCCTCTGAGAGGCGACGGAGAAAGGATACCTCACCTTTTTCAGTAGCTCCAGTGCGCTCTTCTCACGCAGCTGCTCCTTACGCTTAGTCTCGTACATCCTGATAGCCTCCCTACGCTGTTCTTCGGCCCGTTGCATCTCTTCGCTGCGTGCAAGCTCCTCTTCCTGCGTAACGTACAAACCGCACGTGCGAGACCCAAGTACGTGGTGCCAGTCAGCAAACGGTGGGGATTCGATACCTCCCCTCCACTTGTGTAGCAATCGAAATACCCGACTACAGGGTCGCATTTATTTCACTGGGGAACAATCTCGGGGAACGGACCGTCTGCACCAATCATTCAGATCGAGACAGCACTCTCGAAATTCAAACGATGCTTCCGGCAAGCACGCTGCAAATGCAATGCAGGACACAAGCACCTCACGCTACAACTGCCTTTCGAGAAAACAACGCCATAGTCAGCTATCTAAAGAGCTGCTTTGCTTCGCAAATGCATAACTTCTCGCAAATGCATAACCTCTGCACAATGTCGTTCGTTCCCAGGAGGACGGATTCCATCGACAACTCACCTTTTGCTTTCTCTCTTTGTAGAGCTCCATGTCCTTGTTATACTTGTCCCGCAGCTCTTTCGCTCTCTGAAACGAGAAGATCACAGCCCAACGTCGTTCATTGAGATGAAAAGAGTGCAAAATAGAAATTGAACCTGAAATAGAAATTGAACCCGGATGTTGGATACTCTGTGATGGCTAAAACTCTTCGGTGTCGAAGACCCTCTGCTATCCAAAAAAGACTTCTCCTTAATGGATGCGCGAACTCGTGAGAAGATGCATGCACTTTCTGAACCTCCGAAAACTGAAATTTTCCATGTGAATCATTGGAAAGACCGAGGCGGAACTCCGAATTAAACTCTCCTGGCCAAGGCCTACGAAGATATAGAAAGACAGCCATCAAATCAAAGCCTCGTCAACGAAGCCAGATGCAGACCAACGCAGACTTCACGATGGCCCAGAAGAAGGGAGGAGCTAGGAAGGAATGAAGTATCTGGCATCCGAGTAGGGTGAAGAGCCCCCCCCCCTTCTTTCCCACATCCTGCGCAGTCAATCCCCTGGACCGCCAGGGCAATCAATGCTGGCAGGACCCTCTCATACTATGATCAGATGGATTTCATTTTGACAGTCTGTAAAAGGGACGCTGGACCCGTTTTCCAGCAGGTGACACTCCCCACCAATAGACGGAGCCCATCCGAGTAGGGTGAAGAGCCCCCCCCCCCCCCTTCTTTCCCACATCCTGCGCAGTCAATCCCCTGGACCGCCAGGGCAATCAATGCTGGCAGGACCCTCTCATACTATGATCAGATGTATTTCATTTTGACAGTCTGTGTAAGGGACGCTGGACCCGTTTTCCAGCAGGTGACACTCCCCACCAATAGACGGAGCCCCTCCCCCCGGTGCTAGTAGTGTCTGCTCTTACAAGCACCACTAACACTGACGAGACGAGGGTTCAAAAAAAAAAAAAAAAAAAAAAAAAAAAAAGACTTCACGAGGCCAGCAATAATCATGAAAATACAATCAATCAAATTGAACATAGGCATGACTCTTCTTTCGATTCTGAAATACTCAAGTCTACTAATATCCACGAACTCGTGAGATGCATCGAAGCCATAAATTTTCCACGTTAATCGTTAGAAAGACCGAGGCGGAACGAATTCGTGAACTCTCCTGGCCGAGGCCTGTGAAGATAGTACAGAAAGACAGCCAGATGCAGACGAACGCAGACTTCAGGAGCGCTACCAAGAAAAACAAGTTAAAGAGGTGGTCACAAGCAAATCAGGTGCCGAAACGCCCAGGGGGTGAGGAACAAATCGAACAAGAGAGAAACTTACATCTTCATACACCTGCTTCATCTTCCTCTGCATTTCTTTCCACTCCTGGCCAAGAAGTTTTCCAATCTGCATGGTCGTCACGAGCGGCATTGATTATATTAGGCACAGCAGCCCGCCAGCGATGGAGGAACGAAAAAAACAGAAGGAATTGAAAGCCAAAAGGAATCATAAGACAGGACTTCGCAAGTGGTGACGAATCGAAAAACCCCTGGCACTTTCCAAGCGAGAGCGCATAGAAAAGCCAGAACGTCAGAGGGATTGAAAGAAAACAGCTCATTTCCAGGAGAGCAGAAAGAGAAGCACAACCGAAATCTCTCTCCGAGCAAATGCTACCGGGTTATGTAATGTAAAACCGGAGCTAATAATTTCCAATGATACGCGGAAAATGACCGACGGAACTATGATACATCACTTTACAACGCTGGATACTTCATTGGTAAGGTAATCCCATAGTGAACGAGAACTGTCGGTCTCTTACCTCTCCGATACCGTAGGACTTGCCCTCCTCTTGGAGCTGAGGGCGGCGTTCATTAGCATATAAAAAGAATGCTGACGGTGGCTGCTTTGGCTTCTCGGGATCACGCTCACTTCTGCGGTCAGCAGACAGGCGAAACAATGACATCAGACGACCATATAGCACTGCCCAGGCTCCACATTCATAATCCCTGACTAGTAAATTGCAAATAGAATTAATGCAGACAGAAAAGAACGGGTAGCGCGAGAAGGGGCAGGGGGAGGAGAGGTAGAGGGACGCGTAGGGAGATCGGAAAGACACGTTCGAGGATCACTCGCATGCAATTCAGTAACACGTTTGAGGCGACAGTGCAACTTCCAATGGCCCCAGCGGTCGAATATCGTACGTAAAATTCCAAGCGATAAAATATTATAAGTTGAGTGTAATGCGCACTTGAAAGCTCACCAGACCACAGCATCATACGCGCGCACCATGCAACGATTGTTGCAGCAACTAAGCATGCACACTTCTCTTCCTTCTACTTCTTTCCAGTTAATAAAAACCTCAAACGCGTTCGGAAATAGTCATTTTATTATTGTCAAACGGGTAGAGGGAAGCTGGGAGCAGCACGGATCAGTACCGCAGCCCTGCAAAAAAAACTTTCAGAAGAAAGTTAATGAAATTCAACAACAACAACAACAACAACAACAGACTGTACAAAACATGGCCCCGGTATCTCAATTTTCAATTTCCATTCTTAGGCCAATTGGATTTTTCTAGTAGGTTTCTAGCCTCATTTTCATGAAATTTTCTGACGAGTTTTCTGAATGTACTCGTTATGGGACGCTGGGTCTGGTTCCCAGTTCGTGCCAATTTGTGAGGATATGGTTGTATCTATGGGACGCTGGACCCGGTTTCCAGCAGGTGTTGCTCCCCACCAATAGATGGAGCTTTGGTGAAAAAAAAAAAGAAAGATGGTAGTACAAAACAACACTGCTAATCGTGGCACCAACGACGCGGGCGACGATTACTTATATAAACCGTTGGATGCTCTTCAAAAGCACGAGACTCACCTCTTATGTTTTCCATCCTTGGCACCTTGCAGACTCTGTCAAACAGTAAAATACGCGAGAGAAAACGATCAGTTGATGCCAAATCATTCATGGGCCCGATAGCGCAAGCTACTAGAAATCCATCTCGCAGCCCCCAGATGAACCATACCCCAATTCCACTGTTCAAAATCAGAATACCGACGCACCCCGTCAATCCGAGCTCATCACACATTTGCTCTTCCGGGCAAGAACCGATACAACGCAGACACACAAGAGCGCGGCACTGCCACGCGCCAACAATAGCCACCCATCCACATTTACTTCTTTTTTTTTTCCTTTCTTTTTCCACATTTACCTCTTAGGTGTGTACGTTACAAGATCCAACCCAAAATTCACATACACTGCCTGGGTACGAGCGGAAAGCCAACATTCGTCTATTGAAGTGTTTCCTACAGATCTAGCACAATCAAATACACTCCGCGGAGCCAATGCGCATACATACCGCCTGGTGCTCTTCGTACTGACTCATGAGTTGCATCGCCATTTCCTGCCGCTGCTGCTCTCTATAAACTCTCAACGCCTCCTCTTCTTGCTTCTCTTTCTGGATAATCTGCGAGATTTATTGACACTGTCAGATCGGAGAGCGTAATCGGACGGGCAAATCGAGTTCCTACTCGGCCACCAACTAGAAACAACAAAGAATTGAAGTCAATTCCCAATTACCGTAGTTTACTGTTTATATACACTAACTACTAGTAAGGCCGTCATGTCACAATAGCCCAAGCGAGACAAAACAAAAGCTGCTATTTCTATCAAAACGGGACTAAATCATCGCAGAGCTATAGCTTCGGCCAACAAATCCCCTAAAACATCGAACGAGTTCAACTCGAGAGTTCGACGGCACTTGAAATGCCGCACGAGGCCGAAGGTGATGCGTCAAAATAAGCCTACAAACTCCATTATCACAACTACATCTGATCATCGCCATCACCGCCATCGCTGTCATATACCGAAACGTGACCACCATTCCATAACCATATCCAGGACGAGATGTTTTTATCACCATTCTCATCATCATCCTTGTCATCATCATCATCATCATCATCATCATCATCATCATCAAATCATCATCATCGTCAGGCTTGTCGCCGTAGCACTCGAAGAATAGGCATCATGAAAATCGCTGTCGCGATGATCGCTGACATGTTCTTGGCCAGTGACGTACCTTATCATAGGCTTCTTTCTCGACCTTATATCTTTCGCTCTCGGAAACTGCAGCCACCTCGTAGGGCTTCCTCTCCGCTTCCGGCACGGCTTTCCAAGCTTCTCCAACGAGCTTACTAAAATCTACAAACCCCAAATTGGGGTTTGCATCCTTCATCTGCGAGGAAAACGAGCACAAACGTCGTCATCAGGACTGCCTGCACTGTAGAGCGGACAAAACAAGCGCGGACTTCATGAGAGGATCCGCACAACCTTAATTCTCTCCAAGCAAAACTGGACAAGGCTGTCGAAAATTTCTGCAGCAGTCATAAAACGAACAAAGAGTAGTTTTAATATTACGTATCTCCTCCAAACAGACCGACGATGTCATAGAGTAGGACAAGGACGCGCAGCGCAGTATCCCATGAACTACGAAAAAACGCAGATTTACCATTGATAAGTTACATCATTGAAGAGGGTGGGGAAGGGGGGGGGAAGTGGGGGGAGAGGGGGGGGAGAGGGGGAGGAAGGGTTCGAAAAACGGTTATGTGGGCACGTATTCCAAGTCCTGGGAAAAACATTTACAGACAGCCCAAGTTCAACATTGCTACAGCAGGTAGACCACATCTATACCCTCCGCTTCCATCCAACCCAATCACCTGTCATTCTGACATCCGACAGCAGGGCACTGAGTGAAAAACAAGCGCCGCAAATGAAGCTCGCCTTTCGGAAGGGGGGGGGCAAGGGGGGAAGGGCCGGGGATAAGCAAAAGTGTTATGCCACTGAAGAATCATGTAGTCAAATAGAGAAAATTTACTCAGCTACGGATGGAGTTGGGAAATGGTGCAGTAAGAAAACTGCCCTGCCCTCCAATTCCGCTCGGCGCGCAGCCTCTCCTTCGAGCTTCAAAAGCAGTGCGCCGTGTGGGTCGGGAGAGGGGGGGGGAATCAGGAGCTGCAAATGAAGCTCACCTTTTGACGGTTGTCCTTCGCCCACAACATGAAAGCGGTGAGAGGCTGTTTAGGCTTCCTTGGATCCTTCTTCTCCGCCTTCTTGGCTTTTTCACCGCCGCCCGCCGTCGGCTGCACTGGAATCTCAACATCCTAAACGGAAACGCCATAACAACGATGTATACGCCTCCCCTGTTAGACTTTCCGGGAGAGGGAAAGAGAAGAGTCGATGTTGCGTGTCAGAACACAAGAATCATCTCCGTCTTCGTGAACGGAGGTAACAGGCTCACGGGAAAGCGACCCAAAAGGCAAAAAACGTCGACGGAATGTAAGTCTTTAGAGTGGACCAACTGCTCTTTCCCATTCAAAAACAACGAAACATGTACTTCATCAAGAATATAATCCTGCAAACACCACCGCAGTGCACAGATACACCCTCATCATGACGTCAGAATATTACTTTTTTTCTACACAGTCATAATGTTCCCACAGTTTCATTTTTCAAAAAAAAAAAGGCAAAAGAAAAAAAAATCCCCCACGTTCCTGGAACTATGGGCAAAAGAAAAAATATCCACCGGTTTCCTGGCGCTTGCGTTCACCACACTCGATCTTAGCATTGCACTCTTCAAGCATCTATCGCAAAAGCAGAGCGCATGACACTAGATAAGAAGAAGAAAGAAAAAAGCAGAGCGAATAACAAAAGAGCTGATGTCCTCTTCAGGGTCTACGACCATTAGCAAAACTGTCTTACAATCAACGGATCATAAATCAAAGCAGGGCATATTAAGCTCACTACAGTCTTCCCCCGAATACAACGTACGGTCATTATAGCTGAATTTGATGTATCTTTCAGCCTAAATTCAGCTATAATGACTGTACGTTGTATTCGGGGGAAGACTTCCCCAGGCGGAAGAGAGATCTATCTCCCGTAAAAACTGCACATAACAAGATGATAACATCCTCTAGACGGCTCGCGAAAAGAGACACCATTCCCGACACCCAGGTATTAACAAGGTAATAACATCAATGAACAAAACCAATAGCTTCCTCGATCGAAGGCAAATCAATCAACCAGCAAGGCAACAATCGCATCGATAACGCTCACCAGCCTCGGCTCAAACGCCATCGCCGTGTTCTTTGTCTGTTTCTTCCTCATCTGCTTGCTGGCCTCGAGCATGCTTCTGGCCTCTTCCTTTTCCAAGAGCACTTTTTCAAGCTGCGCCGTCAATGTGACAACCTCGCTCTCTAGATGCTGGTTCCGCTGCTGCAGAGCAAGTTTTCCAGGAGTGGGAGGTGGTGGCGCTTTCTCGACAGGTTTATCCACCAATTTGCTAACCGGAGCGCTTGCATTTTTCTCCTTCTGTTTACGACCGCGGCCCTTGCCAGCACGAGGAGCCGCGGTTCCCGCCTCCGAAGCCATATCTACGCCTGCTACTTCAGGAGCATTCTCTTTATCTCCACGATTCGCCATCGACGCCATCTCCAAACAAATCAGGTACTCGGACGACGCGTCCCGGACTTAAGATCGAAACAACAGTGCTTACAATGACATAAAGAAAGCGAAAACCGATGAAAGAACACGTCAAGGGAAAACGCTACTTTGATGGAGGCGGTCTCTGATTTCCTTATCAACGTCCGCTCCCTCATCAGCTCAGAGACACTAGTCCTGGATATCTTGCCAGGGCAGCCTTTGTCTTCCGCTTCACCAATAGAGAACCGTCTCCCCTTCGCTTATCGATTCCAAAGCAAATTCCGCCCGCGCAACTTCAGCACCTTCTCCTTCACAGGCTTCTGTCCGACCTTGACTCGTCCGACACCGTCTTCTTGTCTCCGGTTCCTCCTCGCTGTTTCAAGTAGCCGGCCGCTGTCATCACTCACCCTTTCCCCTCTGATGTGTACCTACTGACGACCCAACGGCTACGTCCACTAACACATACTGCCTGTCGCCGACTTCCTCCGGGAAGTCATGCCTCTCGATCGATACTTGCATCTCTACGTCAGCTTCTCCCGTGGGGCGCCCTTCGAGATCGACCACGCCTTAGGTACGCGAAATGGCATTTTGAAGACGGTGCGCGGGAAGAAGGCAATGGTCCCGGCCTACCAGAACCTCTGCGCTCTTACCGTCGATCTGCGTGTTCGCTATCGCGAAACCCCGTTTCCTACGTCCGATGCCTGTGTGGGGCTCCGGACCGCCAGAAGACTGTACTAACCGTTGGTCCGTTCAAATTCGTCATTTCAAATTTCAACATTGAAAGAATCACTTGTCCCGCCTTCAACCCCGCACTCTGACAACGGTGACCCGCTACCTCCCGTAATGCCTGGGCGCTGAATGTTGCAGACAGACAAACCCACCCACTCACTCCCTTTTCCGTTTTCAGGCCAGTTTCTTCACCGCCAACTGGGCCTGAAACAGCGACCTTAATGCAGCGGCCTAGCTCAGTTGGTCAGGCACGCAAGTGGCATTCAGGAGGTTGCGGGGTCGAGACCCATCCGGCCTGCGGCGCACTTAGTGCCAACCGACTGTGATAGTCCGCTTGATACCCCTGAACGGTATTAGTAGGGTCTATGACCAACAGGGGTGTGAGTGTGAGTGTGAGCGTGAGTGGGTTGCGTGCGGTGTGTGGGAGAGTGTTGGCCATAGCCACTGTTGCTACTGGATGGGGGGGGGAGTGGGGGAAGTAAATGGGAGGCACAGCTTCTGGCAACATGCTCAGTCTTTGCGTTATCCACCCCCCCCCACTGGTGGACCCACCCTACCCCCTGACCTCCGCCCATTAGGGCCGGGGGCAACATGAGGTAGCTAGGCTGGCAGGGGTCCCCTGTATAGGCCGAGTACTGAGAGAAGAATATAGTTTAGTTTTAGGGGGAGGAGGGGAGGGAAACTGTGACCGCACGGGGCGCGGGGGCGCAGCCAGGGGGTAGGAGATTGTACCCTTGGGGGTCACCATCAGGTCCCTGTGGAACCACCAATTCCATTACGCTAGGTCCGGGCCTAGGACCTGGGGGCCGAACCAGGCCCTTGGGACTGCCGGTAGGTCCTTGGCAAAAGGTCCCTGGGACTCCAGGTAGGTCCTTGGCCATCAGATCCCTGGGACCTGCCAGTGGGTCCTTGGCCCCGCAGCTAGGTGGCACCATGATGATACTGATGCCCAGGGCTCGGGCCGGCTTGAGGCTAGAGACAGCTTGAGGCCCGGGACTTGGGGGGGCTTGGGCACCTTAGGCGACCGGACGAGTTGCAGACACAGGCCCACAGCGGCAGGCCGTCGAACAAACTTGGTGAGGGAGACGTGGGACCAACCTGGCACTTAGCACTGCACAGTGTAAATAATCTCATATTGAGCGGTGGGACGGTGGGATCAACCTGGCACTTCGTGACAGCACAGTGGGACTATGCCCACTGGGCCATGGATGGCGATTGGCCTACCGGTAGTCTGTTTACCGCATATCCTGGAGAGGGGCTCCAGGCAAAGGCACAAAAGTGGGGTGGGATTCAGTAGGTAGGGGCTTCGTTCTACGACCCTGGACTGGACTTGAAAAGCTTAAAAAAAAAAAAAAAACGACCCTGGACTGGACTTGAAAAAGCTAAAAAACTGCCCCGGGTAGTCTACTAGTATGTAGGAAGATTGTCGGATGGATAGTTAGGGCTACATTGGATAAGGAGGATGAGTTGGTAATCCCAATTCCTTAGAACTGCGTTTTTATAAGGTTATGTTAGAGTGGAAGTTAAGTTTTGGGAATGGTACAGAAAGAGTATTTGACTTAGCTGTTTAGATTCTTTCCGTTAAGCTAAACCGGCTGATGCTGCCGGGATAACTCCGCGTTGAATTGTGAGGTCCCCAGCCTCCTACATGGTTTGATTGGTAATAAGATTGCCAGTTGTTGTTGGGAAAAAAAAAAAAAAAGTTATAAAAAAAAAAAAAAAAACAAGACCCAAGTCCGATTCCGTCCGGTCCTTGGCTAAGACCGGTTGCCTCACAACCTCAACCCAGCTTTAAATCGTTCGTCGACCGAAAAAGAGAGAGGGAAAAAAAAAAAAAAAAAACGCCAGACTTGACTCATCGACGACCAAATCGAACGACCCGCTTGCCTAAGAGCGGTCAAGTTCAGGCTCCAGTCGTCGACGAACCCTTTTTCCCTGATTTTCATTGCGCACCGAGTTTTGTCGAGCTGGGGCAGTTTTTCTTTTTTTTAATTAAAATTAAAAAGGTTAATTCTTTTAAGCCCAACCAATTCAATTACCTGTCGAATCTGGACAGGACTGCCTTTCAGGCCTTTTTTATTGTCATTATAGTATTATTACGGGGAACCCCGTAGCAGCCACATCCGCGCACAAGCCTCCAACGAGGGAACATGCGGGAGCTGCACCCACCAGCAGGTACGATACCTGCTACAGCAGGTGGGCGATACCGACTAGGGGTCAGCCCGTAGCATCAGGACCGAGCTTCTTCAATGGGCCAGTCACTGTGCCTCCCCTCCGGTCCCCTCCCCCTATAAACATCAGCAGTCCCTTCTCTACTCAATGCCACTCGGGGGGACCGACGACATATCTCTAGGTGGCGGGCGCCAAGCTTGCCTAGGAAGGTACATGAGGTCAATGGGGATTGAACCCAAGACCTCCTGAATGCCACTTGCGTGCCTTAGCCAGGGCAGTTTCATAGGAGAAGGAATAAAGAGGAAAAAAAAAACAAAAAAACTTGGAAGTAGTCTCTATAACCACCAGATACATTCTATGAGGTATTTGTGTGACTGTGCCCTGAGGGAGGGCGTTTATGGACGAACAACCCAAAAAAAAAAAAAAACGCCCCCCCCCCCCAAAAAAAAGCTCCCTTATTCTGTGATTGAGGGTGGGTACAGGGTGCTACAGCATCGAGACGTGCCACCCGTTAAATACGCCCTGCCTGGCTGACAGGGCACTACAACGAATGGGAACAAAAAAAAACAAAAAAAAGCAAACTCTTCCACACATGGTTGCCAGGTACATTCCTCAAAGAACTGCTGCAACTTCCACCCTCGTGAGGGGCTTCCCCGACGTCCCTGCATTTGAAACTCTGTTTTTTTTTCCTTTTTTTTTTCTTCTTGAATCGTCGATTTTGATGACCTCCCGCTCTCCATTTTTGACCCATCCACCAATCCCCAAACGAACGATCCCCCCCACTAGTGGACCCACCCTACCCCCTGACCTCCGCCGATTAGGGCAGGGGGCAACATGAGGTAGCTAGGCTGGCAGGGGTCCCCTGTATAGGCCGAGTACTGGTAGTTACATAGTGAAAGGTGAAACTGAGAGAAAAATATAGTTTAGTTTTAGGGGGAGGAGAGGAGGGAAACAAAGATTTTCATGTCAAACTAGGGCAAGTAAGAAATATGGAAGAAAAGAAAAATCTGCTGATCAATGTCATCCCACTGCCAGGAAGTGTTTTTGAGGTATGCGAACGTAGATTTCAGACCCCATCAGGTATGCGAACGTCTGAAATCGGCCTAGACCTGATGGCAAACACGTTTTTTAGGCTTGTTCGGCAATGGCTGTACTCTAGAGCAGATGGATACTCTGGAATAACCTGTCATAGGAGCTACCTTTACTCAGATAAGAGTAATGAAAAATGTCAAATACAAAAGTTTCACCTCCTGCGTTCTCTTTTCAAATGGCAGGCCAATATCCACCTTGAAACTGGACTTTAAGAAATGGGAATGGCGGTCTTAAACCACCAGTACCTCGCCCAACTTAAAAAAAAGCTAGCGGTCGACAGCGAACGCAGCGATCGAGTGTGTTGGACCCCGTGCTCGTTCATGACGTGTTGATGCTGCCATGATGATTGTTATGGGGAAGAAAGGTGGAGAAGCAAGGATGGAAAAAATGGAAGCTAACAAGGGCAATGTTGGGGACCGTG